CTTATGCAATAAAAGTTGTATAGTTCACCAATTGCATCTCTAATATAATGAAAAAGCCTTGTAAAACAGGGTTTGAACGATGAAGGCCTTGTGGTCTCTAAAGAGTTGAGTGTTGAGGGCAAGATCCAGGAAAATTTCCTTACTGGCGATAAATGCTCAGTTGCTTGTGATAGGACACTTGAAGAAATTCTTAGAATTGTATATGGAAGTGGCAATGAAGCCACACTTAGTGGTTTCTATCCAAAGAGAGCTAATGGTGTCATTGCTAAGTCTTATTTACATATTGAAAACTACTAAAAGTATGAAACCTGACAACTTTATGTCATCACCATCATATAAACAATTATTTTATGTATATAATGTTATTTTCGGTCGTGACAATACTAAATTGAACCTATAATTATGATATTTTTTCTTTATGCATCTCGTCCTTTAGACTATATACTCTCATTCAACTATATAACAATAAGTATCATTAGTTATTTTCTTATATAATATTGATTGAAGAGTCATCTTCTAATTATACACTCTTATCACAAAGATAACAGTTCATAAATATAAAAATTGTCATGGTTCTTTACTTAACCATTTCAGATTAGGAAGACGTGGTTCCCGAGCCCGTTCCACAAAAAGACGGCGAGTTAGATGCCTAAAGATTTTATAGTTCTATTTATAGTTTTTATTTTGAGTATTTTTTTTAATTAGCTTATTCTTTCATACGTTGAATACATTTATGGTTATTGTGTAAGGGATATGTTAATCAGAATTTTTATTACGCTTCCGCCTTTAAAATTTTTAATACATACATCTTCATTTAAATTTTTGGGGCCGTTACATTATCAGTAAAGAGAAGTAGTCAAGACTATTAAATCAATTGAGAATATTAGGTTACAAATTAGTTTTTTTTTTTCAAAAATAAAATTTTATTGAACTAATAGAAATAACATACAAATAATTGAATACACGATCCTTTTTTGGTATATATATATTTTTTTTGTTTAGTTGAGAATTACTGGTTATGAAACTCAAATTATAGATATTAAATTGTAAGCTTAAATACGAGGTATTCTTGACTTCTATTAAAAATAATATATGTATTAAATATTTTGTATTTATGAAATCAATTTAAGACAATTTTGAATCATCTTATAAAATTTGTATATACTAATTATACTTATAATTTTATTTTTTTGTAGCAATTTGAATAATTAAAATAATTTTACTTATAATTTAATTAATAAATATAAATATGATATTAAAAAGACTAGTTAATATTAGTATTTAGTAACTTATACATACATAATTTCTTTTGCATGCCAGTGCTATAGAAACAAAACTTCATTTTTATAGAACTAGCTAAATATTATAGTAAAGGAATTTTTCGTTTGTATAGCTCTAAAATTCTATTCCGATAACCACTTGAAGCTGTTTGGAAGAATTTCATGAGAAATAGAAGAGACTTCCATTGGTATAGCCCGTCGGAGCTATAGTAACGATATTGACACTATAACAACGGGATTTTTTTCCCATTATTATAGGTTAATTTATTGGAGTATGAGCTAAACAATCGACACAAACAACGATAAATTTAGATATCTCGATCGCAACTAAAAATTTTTTAACTTGGACCTCTGTATTTATGCGAGTAATAACACAATTTTTTCGTTGGTGGAGAAGTTGACTAACATAGAGTAAGTCTATTTCCGCAATAAGTTTTAATTTTCTCACTCCAAGCGAGCTTAAATCTTCCGGATTAAATATGCCGGAATTAGAAACTTCTAAAAGAATTAATTAACTATCGAATTACAACTAAATCGGAAAAATACACTTTGTTCAATCATTTGAGAATTGAAAATGCTATAACGTATGTATTATTTACTGATTTTTTTAGATCTTCACAGACAAGTATTAATATTAATAAGAAACAAATTAGAAAAACGATTAGTGCACAAATTTCTTTTAAAAAAAGAACAGTATTCATGATTTTAGAAGATCTGTTACGTACCTTTAAGAATTGGAAAAAACAAAAAAGTGAAATTCACAGGAAAACAGAGATTTCATGGTGCATTCTGGATTTAATTTCTTGATCAGGTGGATACAAAGAAATGCTCCATGGCTGCACTAGGCAAGCTCCATCCACCCATGAGTATACAGTCTACTTGAGATGGTTTGAAGAATGCTTACTGTATTTCTCAAATCATATTTGGTAATATATATATATATATATATATATTACAGATAATGTTACCGTTTGCAAAAAGAGAAGGAGATGATTATACAAATGACATGTTATATGCGTTTTGTCACATTATTTGCACTGATATACCCAGTGAAAATTTCAAAAACTAGTCAGATATTTTGACCCTTCAGAATTAATTACACTAATCAGAATTAATTAATTAATAAGAAATTAATTTCTATGAACCCCACCAATTTTCGCCAACTTTTGCACTAAATCTTATGGAAATAAATGGTTCAGATAAAAAAAAAAAGTGATCAAGTATTCACTAAATTTCTAACACAAGTGTTTGTATATCGATTCCCAGTTTCTTTCGCCGACGTAAAAAAATTGCAGACCTATTTTTAGTGTAATTATGATTACCGCGTTATAATCTCTTCAACTAGGTTAAAAAATTTACAATGTAGTGTCATATTTACTTCATTAATATTGCTAAATAGATTTTGTTCGATCATTTCATAACTAAAACATAGAAAGATTCATAATGCACGTGTTCTTGATTGGTCTGTTTAGATCTTCGTCAAATAAGTATTAATATTTAGCGAGAAACAAATAAAAAAATGATTAATACTCACAATTTTTTAGAAAAAAGACTGGTACATTCAGGATTTAATTTCTTTGATCAAGTGGGTACCAAGAAATGCTCGTAAGCTGAATCAAACAAGCTCCATCCACCCATGAGTATTTTTTTTCGGGTATGCCAAGGAGACTTGGAAACTTTGTCTACTTAAGCTATATAACAGCTCTCGCAATGGTTTTCATTCGTGGATTCGTACTATGTTGATGATCTTTTCACATAATTCATAAGATAGATTTTTATATGAATTATAATGTATATGGTGGAATGTTGATCAATGACTTCATTCCCAACTATGGGTTTCACCCTTTCTATTGATTCAGAAGTTCCAAAATAATATAAACGAGTTAGACATAGTTCAAGAGATTAAGTCTTTTCGGAAATACGTTGACGGACATAGTCTTACTATTCCTTATCTCTTGGACATCCTCTAATACCATGCACATTTAAGTTTAACTGTGATGTTTAGACTTAAGTTGGTGTGTAAGATTGTTTGAGATACTATAGTGTTTGCATGAATGAGGCGCTTACCATAGCAAAACTCAGTAGATGTCGCTAAAGCATTAGCACTATATTACGACATTCAATTGTCTTATCGGTTATACATCTATAATATAATGGTTGAAGCAAATTCTCAGCTAATCGTTACTTTACTAAATTCATTTTAATTT